CATTTGATGGTGCCGTAAAACTGGCACAGCGCTAGAAGCGTCACGTCCTGAAAGCACCAGGGGACCCAGTGGCCCGTATTGCCTTGCTTTCCGCGACACTAACGAGACCAAGTTATGACACGAGGCTTCTGGGGTTTGGGCTCTATGTTTACAAAACTACACATCAACTTGCCCGTGTCTCAAAACGTTATAGTTATACTGGTAGGACTTTTGATGATTTTATCGCACATGAAACTAAAATGGAAAAGAATAACATTTATTTTATGAGTTGACAATTATTATTAGTTTGTTAAGTATGTAATGATCTATTTCCGTGTTTTTCATGCTGAATTGTGAGTGTGACAACTTCGGGTTGTGAAGGTCTAAACTGAAGTCTTCTTGTTAGCTCATTGTAGCATCTGATACATCAGGTCTTGGTGGAGATCTGTGACTTAACATCACCAGGGAGTTTAGACTTTTTTAAAAAAAAGTCATCTGGGACTTTAGACTCGAAGTCATCAAGGAATTTAGACTTGAAGTCATCAAGGACTTTAGACTCAAAGTAATCAGGGACTTGAGACTCAATGTCATCAGCGATGCTAGACTCGAAGTCATCAAGGACTCAAACACAACAGAGACTTTAGACTCAAAGTCATCAAGGAAGTTAGACTTTAGTCATGGACTCTAGACTCAAGTTATCCAGGTATTTAGACTCCAAATCGTCTGGTACTTTAGACTTATAGGCCTAAGGGATTTAGACTCAAATTTACCATGGAGTTTAAGACACCACTAGGACTTCAGACTCAAATGCATCATAGACGTTAGACTCGAAGTCGTGATCTTTAGACTCGAAGCCACTAGAGACTCAGATTCACAGTCATTGTCATCAGGGTTCCTTTGAGCCATCTCTACGGGGGGCATTCCCCCCCACCCCGGGGAAAGACAAGTGCGCCCCCCAACCCCGTGAGCAAAATGTGTACAACAATATAACGATTGTATATATTTAAAAAAAATTAAAACAGACTAAATTGTTATTTTAAAACCGTTTTATAAGAGTAGTATCTAGCGCCTTTCACCGATTCTAATGAGTGGAGTCTATGAAATGTCGCTACGTTTGATATATTTGATGATCCGTATACATTTGGCCAATCTTGTTTTAAAGGCTTTCAGTATTCGATTAAAAATATCGTACTGGTCATTAGCCGAAATCTTACTTCCCGTTGTTCGCACTTGTCGGCATTTTTGTAATTCAAAAATTCAACTACTTTTACATCGATCTCAGGATCAACAATTCTAATAATAGTTCTTGCTATGCATCAAACATGCGCAATGTATTTTCTAATTATATTTCATTATCAAAGCATAACTTTTAAAGTAGGGATGGGTGTTAAGTTAAGTATGAATTGCTTGATGGCATTAGGCTTTAAAAACATATTTTTATTAGCATAATTATAATTAACTTGATTCAAATTCCATCAATGTTGAGGTATATAAAATGGAAACTTAAAAAATTGAGAGATGTTAATTTTAATTAAGAATTAACGGTCGCATACAAAATGTGTTAATTTTGTAACAAAGTTTCCTGAATGAAAGAGGTTTTAAAAAAAATTACCTATATTTAAGAAATTCCCAACTGCTTTTTTTTCTTTTTAATATCAGAATAATAAACAAACTGCCCCATCTAGTTGGACGGATTTTTTTAAAGCTAATATTTTTTTTCTAGATGAGAATCTATCAGAAAGCTAAAAAAAAATTAAAAAAAAAAAAAACAGAATATTTATTTTGAACTAGTCTAGCATTTCTATTATCATGGCAATTCCATTTTTGTTGGCACTTGCTTTAGAAAAAAAAAATGGTATTTCTTATGTGTCAATTTAAAATAAATTCTGTGGATTTGGGAATAAAATGTTTTAAAGGATATCTAAGTGTCAGTTTGTAATTTATCTGAAAAAAAGTTATAATAGTTTGAAATTCCAAATGCAAATTTCAATCAACTGAATATTGAGAAATGTATACTTTATTTTGTAAACAACCCATGTCTTATTTAAATAATTATGGCGTTCAAATACGATTTATAAAAAGGACCAGTTTCGATATCACATACAAGCATGGTCGCCCGCAGAAAACTTTCTAAGGGAGGGGGGGCGCAAACAAATTTTAGTAATGTTTTAATATAGTTTTAATTTACTGTAGCGTATTTGTATGGTGAACGAACGGTCAGGACATCAGCTTAGTTACTTTCTCTTTATTTTCTATTTACTTTAATAAATTTTTTGTCTATTTTTGTCTAACAACTGTTTATCCAATTATCCAGGGGGGGGCAAGTGCCCCCTTGCCCCTACCTGCGGGCGCCTATGCATACAAATGTATAGGCCTTTCTAATTAACAGTTTTTTTCTATCTGAATCTGGTAAAACTTGGAAATATTTAGCAAAGGTTATCATTACACATAAGTTGATTATTATAAGGATTTTTTTCCTTTGCGTTCGACATATAAAATGATATCAGCAGTGCTTTTATTGGGATGGAAACCTTTTTTTTTTTCCTTTTGAAAATTCGCTTTTATTTATGTAGTTAAACTCTTAAATAGGTTTAAATACAACGAAAGCCATATTACGATTTAGTCATATAAAAATGATATTTGAATAACACAAGCAAGTCAAGCAGTAAAGCCAATTTTTGTATCCCCATTTTTTGCATTGAAAGATAAGTCGTAAGAAAACATACAAATCACATGTTTAAGACTCTAAAATACCCTTGGCCCACTGCCATGGTAGGTGTTGCTGGGCTCACACAATGTTTCTATATTAAAAAAAAAAAATAGCATCTTCTCCGCTGCTCTCCAAGTCAGTGTTTCTTTCAGCTGTATCTCCGGGATTGGGGTGGGGGGGGGCGACTGCTCACCCCCCCCCCCCCTCCCCAAGAAAAAACTTCAGGCCCCCCCCCCCCCCCCCCCCCGGGACATTTCCGAAGTAATCACTGCTTGAAGTGTAGAATGCTACTTAACTAAATTAAAGTATTTGCTCAAATACATTTTTGCATTTTGAATTTATCAAAATGTTCAGGGGGGCTTAATGCTTAATGCTCGCTGTTTTTCTCCAAGTTTCAGCTCCATTTATTAGGCCTGTTCTGAAATTAGTCTTGAAAATTCTGACTCTTGTTTGAAGATTCATCTCCTTTTACTCCCATATTTTCTTAAGTACCACTAATGCTGACACATTTCCGATTCTAGCCCTGACTTTCACTTCGGATCCACCCTATAAATCAATGGTGCTGCCTAAGTATGTGAAGGCCTCCACGTCTTCCAGTGCATTTTCTACCAGACAGATACGCTCTTGATTGGCTGAGTTTACCATTATAATCTTTGTCTTGCCTTTATGTGTATAAATAAAATCAAGATTCACCGGCGCCCTCGATTTCTACCCAGACCTCGATGAAAATGATCGATAATTATGGTGATGAGAGATACACTGCCTAGAGGCGTAGCTACTAATAGGGCCACCCTGGCCGCTCTGTCTTTTACGATACTAACTCTGCAGTTGTCCGAAAATGCCGCACCTCCATATAACGAAAAAGTGTAATAACATCTTGGTGAAAACCCCCACCTTTCCCCTTTCTATGCCACTGACAGGGGCGTATCTAAGAGTGTTTGGCGTCAGGGTGCATGATTCATTTTTAAGCCCCCACCCCCATACACCTCTGAAACTATTTATTTTCAATCATCAAAGCCCATTTTTGTGCTCCCGCCAGTCGAACACCCCGGTAATATACCCCATCTGCCACCCCTTAACTACGTCTCTAGAAAGTGGCACTGCTCCCCCAAAAATCTGAAATCCTCCCCCCACCCACACCCCCTCCCCGGGGGGGGAGTGTCTGAAAGAAACACTGATCGTCATGTCTGTGACAAAAAAAAAGTATGTTTGAATATAATGTAGTTAGGCCAAAGAAGAAGTCGAACGTTTAGCTTCTTAATCAGTAACGTTGTCGCTGTATGTAGATAGAATACGATTAATGAAATTAAGATCGAAATTGTATCTGTTGTTATCACCAACGTTCAAGGATTCTCGAAAAATTTGTTTTAGGCCCTGTGAACTAAAACTAAAACCGTTTTTTTTTTTTTCCAAAGTACCCCATTAATTTACTACGGTTTAACTTATCTTCACTAACTTGTGCAGTAGAACAACATAAACAATGTACAAGCGGTTTTTTTTAATAGTACGGACAAAGGTTTCAAGGAGTCACGAGACGACACTGTTCTAAACCAAGTCGTTGCTATTTTGATCGGCCACGGTCTTGACGGCCATCAAACACACAGACTCAGAGGCGTAGCGAAAAGGGGGTGGGGGGAGGGTTGGGACATTTCTCCGGGCGCCAGCTAGTTAGGGACGCCAAAATAAGCTTTGATATTATTTCATTGATCAAAATAATGGCTTGTAGAGTTGAAAACAGAAAAAGGGGCGCTTTAACTGATTCTTGTCCTGGGCGCGAATCTTGGTCCCCAGGCGCCAAACACTCTCGCTACGCCTCTGCACAGATCCGCGAACAAATCATGATGCCCATCGATTTCAATTCAATTTTCAATAATCTTACCTAGTAACTATTTGTTAGGTGCGATTGTTTACTTGTAGTGATTAGTTACCGCTTATTCGGTGTGTTTAGTTACTATTGTGAGGATCGTTTAGTTCAGTGGTTCTCCACCTTCCTAATGCCGCGACCCTTTAATACAGTTCCTCATGTTTTGGTGAGCCCCAAATAAAATACATTTTTTTCGTTGCTACTTCATATGTATGTGTTTTCCGATGGTCTTAGGCGACCCTTGTTCAAGGAACGTTTACGTTCAAATAGGGGTCGCGACCCACAGGTTGAGAGCCGCTGGCTTAGTTGTTGTTTAGCAGTTAAGTTTAGTCATTGTTAATTTGTTGATCCTAGCTATTGTACAATCCGGACAAGGAACAAGAAAGACTCGAGCACACAGCTTTCTATAGAGACATTTCGATATATTTCCGATATAACTACTAAGCCCACGATATAATAAGACAGTGGACGATGTCTGGCGAGATGACCGCCGGGCAAGCTGTCCTTGACCTTCAGTCGTCTGTCCGTGAGCTTGGTTATCCGGCGTGCAACATCCGGGCCTTGTTGATCCTCGTGCCGTGGTTCTCCTTGTTGTGTTTTTCCAAAATGCTCAGTATGCTGTCCACGTTGTCCAGGCCAGACATGCCTTGTGAGAGATAAATAGATAGGTTCATGGATTAGGGTGGATAAGTGGATAAGGCATTTGGACGGGAAACATAGAGTATATAACCTAAATAGGATATCTAGATGGCGTAGAAATAGGGGGGGGGGTGGTGACGGGGGCAAGGAGGGGAACTTTTTTCTATATATGGAAAGGCGAAAATTTTAGGCAAACTTCAGACTTTATTTTTGCGTGGGAAAGGCCGCCCTAGATGGCGCAAACACAAGGCGCGCCACTGATCCCCTTCTCAAAAACGATCACAGCCATAATAGCGCATTTGAACCCTTAGCCGTAAGGAAATTTTCAAGATCTCAAATCATTATTCTGGTTTCTATGTTTTAAAAATCATAATTTCGTTTTTGGAATGGGGAAAAAAAATGAATTATATATATATATATATTTACTCTGCTTGTGTAATCCTTGGGGCGACAGTCGAATGTCATAGATGAAAACCTTATTTAAAGTGCTAGCTATTATCGCTCTTTTATTTCTTACTTTTTGAACGCAATATTTATTTTAATATATAGTATAGAGTGTTCAAAAATAAATTTGACGAAAATTAGATAGTGTGAACCGAAAAAAAAACAAAAAAAACCGATCAAATCTCCGTTCGACCTAACTTCCGTAGATCAATTATCTGTCGACAAAATTTCTTTCAAACAAATTTCCGGTAACCATCAGCAACACGTCTATGTGCCAAGTTTCAGCTCAATAGCTTGACGGGATTTGGGCCAGTTTGCCGTCCGAGGATTTTCCGACCCGGGCAGTCAGCGCCCCCCCCCAATCCCACCCCACCCCAACCAAGCTAACCAACCACAAACAAAAGCCAAGTTAATATAAAGGATTGGAATAAACAAAAAAATCAACATTAATCACACCGCTGCCATCATTTAAAACTTGATGTTTTCAATAAAAAGATTGTCTAGAGTGTGATTTCGTGAGTCACCCCCTGAGATCTACACCCCCTGAGATCTACATCTCAAATCATCATGCACGGCTAAATAAACACAGATGTTGAGCTAAATACTAATCAGGCATATTATTAGACCTTCAGACGTTTCAGTTTATGGTAGCATTTATTAACTGCGACAGGTTATCATAACAGAGAAATTAACGATAGCATTCATTAACTGCGACAGGTTATCATAACAGAGAAATTGACGGTAGCATTCATTAACTGCGACAGGTTATCATAACAGAGAAATTGACGGTAGCATTCATTAACTGCGACAGGTTATCATAACAGAGAAATTGACGGTAGCATTTATTAACTGCGACAGGTTATCATAACAGAGAAATTAACGATAGCATTCATTAACTGCGACAGGTTATCATAACAGAGAAATTGACGGTAGCATTCATTAACTGCGACAGGTTATCATAACAGAGAAATTGACGGTAGCATTCATTAACTGCGACAGGTTATCATAACAGAGAAATTGACGGTAGCATTCATTAACTGCGACAGGTTATCATAACAGAGAAATTGACGGTAGCATTCATTAACTGCGACAGGTTAGCATAACAGAGAAATTGACGGTAGCATTCATTAACTGCGACAGGTTAGCATAACAAGGAAAATGCAGAGACGGCTGGAGATTTTTTTTTTGTTATTGGGAATTGTTTGGACGCGTCATTATTGCACGGCGACCAGGTCCATGCATCAAACGTGAATCACAGCCGTCTAATGTGAGTTTGTTGAGAGCTGGTCGCTAAGCCTTCTTTTTTAACGTCCTTTTTAAAATGTATTTTTGGCACGGTATGAGCTTGAAAACATTACAGATAAAGTTTATTGCATTGTGAGAGACCTACATTTCTAAGAGTGTTTACAACCGTACGACTATAATTATGGTGTGGCGTAGCTATAGGTTAGAGCCCCCGGGGTGGGTCAGGTTTATTTCCGCCCACTTCCACAATAAAACGACAACTCTGCGGTGGGCCGAAAATTCCCCCCTCAGTATAGATAAAAAGAGCCACCCGGGGAGTACCGCCCCCTCTCGGCAAGCCCTTTTTACGTCTATGCTATAATGTAAATTAAGACATTTACTTTTGTGCTTCTTAATCAGGCAGGGGGCGTTCTGATCAGCCGGACCAAATACAACCCCAGAGCCGCCCCCAGAGCTGCCGCAGAGCTGCCGGGCACGATTGCATCATTGAATAGTTTCATTATTCTTTTGAAGTGGGATTTTACCTACGGGCAGATAAATGGACACACTGCCCAAATTGTCACGACCTGGAACAATAGCAAACAACGCCAAATTTTGAGAACACAGACTCATCACAACAATGAAAATGTGTCGCAACATGAACACTTCAGAAAACGCTGCCAAGGTGTCACAACATAGACACATCAAAACACTGCAATCATGTAACAGCATAGACCCATCGAAACACTGCCGTCCTGTAACAGCATAGACCCATCGAAACACTACCATCCTGTGACAGCATAGACCCATCGAAACACTGCCATCCTGTAACAGAATAGACCCATCGAAACACTGCCCTCCTGTAACAGCATAGACCCATCGAAACACTGCCCTCCTGTAACAGCATAGACCCATCGAAACACTGCCCTCCTGTAACAGCATAGACCCATCGAAACACTGCCCTCCTGTAACAGCATAGACCCATCGAAACACTGCCCTTCTGTGACAGCATAGACCCATCGAAACCACTGCCAATTCGCCACAGCGTAGACCCATGTCACATTCTTTTTTAACCTGGCCATGTTATAACTGCGTGGGTGTCACAGCAGATGCCTTCTGCGCATGCGCACGCACGAAGAACCACCGATGCGCAACATTACTACAGCAGGCGCGCAGCAACTTTAAAGAACGAAACAATAATTGTTAAATCCCCTTCTTGGTTCGAGGTCCGTACAAAGCAGGCGGCGAGCAGAGTTTGATTCCCGTGGACGTGACTTGGCCATCACGGTCTTGAAAGACACGTTCAAATGTCCACGGCAACTTTAAGTGGACCACTGACGGGGGGTGCTGCTACAGCTTGTCACAACGAGAAATAACTATCGCTTCGATTAAAATGTTTTGAACCCCTGCAAGTGGATGCCCCGCCCCCTCCCCTCCCCCCCCCCCAGGACAGCTTGTCATGACATCACATTGTTAAGCTCAAAACTGAGAGAGGGAAATTTAAAACGTCCGAGGTTTTCAGAAATTCATACTATTAAAGTTTTAACAGTTACGTCCACACATGAACCAGTTCGTCGTGGTATTAATAATTTACCCACCGTCATAGGTCGACGGTCACTGATGCTGAAGCTGTCAACAGACTCGGAGATGAAAATGTGGTTACGAAAATATTGACTCGCTGTTTCTCACGATCCACCATTTTTTTTTTAAGCAACCCAAAGTTGTGCTCTTAACAAGACAGATGAAAATATGAGAAGGAGAAAAACGTGTGTGTGTGTGGGGGGGGGGAGGGGCGGGCGCGTGGGGGAAAATGGGGTTGGTGACGGGGGAATAAAGTTCTTTTGCTTCGTTAAATTATTTTGAATATTTACTTTATAGAAAGTAAAAATCGTAGCTGGACTTTTGCTGATTTGATTCAATTTACTTTGAACTGAATTCCTTGAACATGAAATGATTTTTTGAATCACAAAATGGTAATTTTTTTTTTGTAAGAGAGATTTTGCTTTTCAATGGATACAAAAAAAGAAAGAATGATTAAATAAAGACTGGGTTGGGATGCGAAAAAATTACGACACCTGTTTACAGAGACAACCTCCGTTTTCAATAATCTTACTTCCGTCTAGACTCTACATACACATTTTGTTTTGTTCATCTTGTTCAAACAGTTTTAAACTTTCTATTTTAAAGTTTTCGTTTAGATTTTAGTTGTGTTTTTTTCAGCGAAGGAAGATTTCCCAGCTGAATATTATCATGACAGGGTCACATCATCGCCGTGCGACACCATGACAGGGTCACATCATCGCCGTGCGACACCATGACAGGGTCACATCATCGCCGTGCGACAGCATGACAGGGTAATACCATGACAAGATTATATCATGACATGTTTACGTCACGCCGGGGTCCCGTCATTCGCATGTCACATCTTGACAGGCTCACACTCCATAGCGTAGCTAGGGTAAGTGCCATCCGAGGTGACTGAGAATTTCGCCACCCCCATCTCCGCTAAAATAACTGCATGCGGCCCCAAAATGCCGCCCTCCATTTAAAGAAAATGTGCCACCCGAGTGTACGGTCCTTTCGCACCCTTCCAACGCTATTGCTCACATTATGACAGGCACATATCATGACACATACCCATATGATTACCCTAAGTTGTTTTAAAACACGATGGGGGTAAAAAAAAATCGATGTATTGACGTTAAGATTAGCCATGGCCAGATTTTGTAGAAATTTATTGTCAAATTTCCAAGAACAACGATCGTGGATTAATACTTAATTTATCACAGAAGAATCCATTGATATATTTGTAGTTTAGTACTTTAATCTAATATAGTAAGTGAACTTCCAAAATAAGTCAGATGTACACTTCCGTTTGTCGGATAACAGCAGTGCCAGGTCGATTGGTTACGGTGACATGATTGGGGCTGATGCCCACCTCGCCCACTAAATGACATGTAAAGTCTTTTTCCGTTCGCGCCGTTGACGTGGGCCGGCATTCAGTTGGAGGGTAAGACTTCGATTGCGCTCTTGTGTCTGATGTCCGGCTGCGACATACATTAGACTTAATTTTTACTTTCTCTCTGGCTTGATCACAGTCTCTACAACAACAACAACAAAAAAACAAAAAACAACAAAAACCCACCCTCAATTTCCCCGCATCCTATCAAAGACTTCGATTGGTTGGCTGTGTTGTAAGGTATTGGATGGACTACCCCCCCCCCACACCGATGCTAAATATATAGATATAAACCTCCAAGAGTAATACTATAGACCAGGGGTTGAATGAGTCATGGGGGGGGGCGCACTTCAGTCCATGAGTGGTATCGACTCTGAGAAAAAAAAGTGATGAATCAATTCTCACAGGGGTAATGTGTCAAATCTCACAAGGGTAATGCATTACCTCTTACAAGGTTAAATGCATCAACTCTCATAAGGCTAATGTATCAACTCTTAAAAGGGTAATATATCAACCCTCACAACGATTATATATCAACTCTCACGAAGCTAGACTAATGTAGCTATTACCCGTTAAGTAAATATAATGACATCCCCAACCGTTTATTTCGGTCTTGTCGACTCCGTTGCATTCTCATTTTGGACGCTTATTGAGTTCAATCCACCAATCAAACCAATATAATTCATGCTTAGCATTACTCTGATGTATAGCAACCAATCGAATTAGTTCACCCATCATAATTCAATTCACTTAACTTTCATTTTTACCCCCCAAAAAAATTTGTACACACACAAAATATGTACATCTTTCTGTTGTTAATAGTTTATAAATTTTGCAAGACTCAGCTAACAGTAATTTCCCCCAACATATGAGCCATCTATCTTAAGAACTCAGCTAACAGTAATGTCCCCAACGTATGACCCATCTATCTTAAGAACTCAGCTAACAGTAATTTCCCCAACGTAATGAACCCATCTATCTTAAGAACTGGACAGAAAGTTCAGACTATGATTGAATACACGGACGGCGGAGAAGGACACAGTGCAACCCTTTGATCTCATGGTGGGGCGCGGGTTTTGAAAGATGATTCATGAGATGTTAACCAAAATGGACATTCACCTTTTGCGGGCGCCAAACTAGTCATTGTTTTATTTCCATCCGTTACGCCACTCCCCCCTCCCCCTCCCCCCACAAGCCCTTATCTCAATGTCAGTATCAGATTGTGTGGGCATTATCAAATCTGATGGGTAATTGACCTTCCCTAGAAAATATGGTCTCGAGAGAAGAGCGATGTGAACCAGATCGCTTTAAAACAATGTATCAAAGATCCACTCCGAACACTTCTTACCGAAGAAACGCTTAGACTGTGGGTTCCATATGACTGCATTGCCTGTAAGAAGAAAAAAAAATGCAAAAGGAAAATATTAATTTGATCTGTTTCTTCCCCTTGTAAGAAACTAGCTTCACTTCTTACATTACTTGTTCATATACCGGTACATGTGCACAAATGTACGGCCTCTGATGCCGTAAATCTCTCCGTTTCTTACTCCTAACAGAAGTAAAAAAAAAAAAAAAAAGATCTGACTTTGTTATAGCTGCACTAATACTACTATTTGGGAAGCAAAGAAACCCTTTTTTTTTTTTTTAAAAGTGTTCTTCAGAAGCCTTCCATCCGCACACACATCTACATTTCACAGTTTCCAATTGCTAAAATTCTATTCTTTGACGCCCCTCAATAAGCATAAATCAAGTTTTCGAAATAGAATTAATGATTTAGTAATAAAAAAAAAACAGACGCCCCTCAGGGTGCAGACAGCCCGAGATCTCCGGGGCTGCTGATTAGCTGGTGGCATGCCCGGCGTGGGCTTAAAATTAGATAAACGTTTATAAATTATGTTGGATGTTGGATGTTGGATGTTCTGCTAATTTGGTTAGACACTCCATCTCCTCGGATTCGATTTTATTCCACCCATTTAAAAAAAAAAAAATTTTTTTAAATAAAATAAAAACGAAAAAAAAACCCCTTAGTGAATTTATTTCCAAACGGTTTCCCGATGTATCAAGACTGAGGGGTTCTTGGCCACGGCCGTTCAACTGGGAAGATAGCATGATATGATGATAAGAGCAAGAAACAACCCCCCCCCCTGAGCCCCCCACAGCGAAAACACCGAAACAATGTAGGAGAACTTTGTTTGAGAGTTGATCCTTCAATGCTTCATGTTTAACACACTTGAAGTTCATCAATGTTATTTTACTTCTCATGATGCACTTCAGAAAGATAAATAAGTGGAAGACAACAATGCTGACGTCTTATATGTTGAAGTAGTGGACCGTGACGAGAAATCTCTAGTAAAAAAACTATCACACTAAACCGTTCTGATTTTAGTATCCATCCATCTCATCAATTAGTTATGGACAAAACATCTTTCAATCTCATCGAATAGTTATGTGCAGAACATCTGTCCATCTCATCAAATAGTTATGCACAGAACTTCTGTCCATCTTTTTAAATAGTTATGAACAGAGCATCTGTCCATCTAATCAAATAGTAAGGTACAGAGCATCTATCAACCTTATCAATTAGTTAGGTTCAGAACGTCTAGCCATCTCATAAAATATTTAGGTACAGAGCATCTGTCCATCTCATCAAACGATGAGGTACAGCGCATCTTTCCCTCTCATCAATTAGTTAAGTAAAGAGCATCTATCCAACTCATCAAAAAATGAGGTACAGAGCATCTTTCCATCTCATATATGAGGTACAGAGCATCTATCAATCTCTTCAAACAGTTAGGTACAGAACATCTATCAATCTCTTCAAACAGTTAGGTACAGAGCATCTATCCATCTCATGAAATAATTAGGTACAGTGCAGCTAGCCATTTCATCCAAATAGTTAGCTACATATTTTTTTTTTAATGAAATAAATTTAGATTTCTCAGAGACAGACTTTAGAATCCCGAAGTAGTAAAAGCACAACATAATTCTAAGTTTCTGCTTCTAGATTCATAAATGTTGCCCACCTTTGTTGCGCATTAATTTTCTTACTGAATGTACAGCATTACGCCTGTCAGGGCATTCCCCACTTTACGTTTACCTGGACACCTACCTTGATTTTTTTTTTTTTCAATAGAAAATAGAAAGCTACTTTTCAATTTCATGCCATTATGACTGCTGACTTCCCACTTCAGATTGTTTGAGATTTTTACTCTTCGTTTACCCCCTGTCCAATAATAGCTGCTTGGCTTGGGGGGGGGGGCAAGTTCATTACATAAAGCCCATATTATAATTTCAGCCGTTCTAAATGTAGCCCCTCAACCATCCCACGACACCCCTCCATCAACCTCCCATCACCCCTCCATCACCCTCCCCAACCCCCCCCCAACCCTCTTCCAACACCTCCACCAAACAAACAACCAAACGAGCAAACACAACTCATCTTACAACCTGAAGACATGAAAGCATCGCTCTCACCCTTGTCGTTATTTTCCAGACCTATCGAATGCTCTTCCAGTCGCCGACCCTGCTGCTCCGTTAAGGCGTCCTCCAAGTTTTGTAGCAAGAGTAAAATGTTCAGCAAGTCTCCGTGACGGTCCATCCCGCTGCCCTCTATCAAACCGGCCGCCGCTTCACTAGAATACCGGTCATCCCCCGCACCCATGGCGATGGATTTGAACGGCAACGCTGTGGCCACCATGGCGGAGATGACGACCGTGTTGATAAACACTCGGACCACAGAGGAGTGCTTTGAGGGATCCATCTCGTTCTAGACCAGCCCAGGGGGGGTGTGGAGCACGGCTCTCGAAGACACGTTTTCTGGCTAGAATAAAAAAAACAACACATTAGCATTTAGGTCTATATCAGTTCAACAACATTTTTTTTCTAAATGTGTATAAGACGAACACCGAAGCTACACACATGATGACGCGTCTCGTGCGCATGTGTCACAGGCTGTCCACTGAGCAGAAGTCTAACGCAGTCACCTAACATTTTCCCACAGGCTGTCCGCTGAGCAGAAGTCTAACGCAGTCACCTAACATTTCCCCACAGGCTGTCCACTGAGCAGAAGTCTAACGTAGTCAGCTAAAAGTTCCCCACAGGCTGTCCACTGAGCAGAAGTCTAGCGCAGTCACCTAACATTTCCCCACAGGCTGTCCACTGAGCAGAAGTCTAAGGCAGTCACCTAACATTTCCCCACAGGCTGTCCACTGAGCAGAAGTCTAACGTAGTCACCTAACATTTCCCCACAGGCTGTCCACTGAGCAGAAGTATAACGCAGTCACCTAACATTTCCCCACAGGCTGTCCACTGAGCAGAAGTCTAACGCAGTCACCTAACATTTCCCCACAGGCTGTCCACTGAGCAGAAGTCTAACGTAGTCA